ACCTCTAGATAGGTTTTATATCATTCCAAAAACCTTCAGAGAAACCTAATAAAACATCTGCATTTTGCTTTGTTTTATGGAAAAAATGATAAAAAACCACCCGAATTCATGTAATTTCCTTCGGAAGCCACAAAATGCTCCATGATCGCCAAAGAACTCAGAAACTGATGATCTTTGTTGAAACCTGGAGCTTGTACTTTGAATTTTTCTTCACACCTCTGAAGAGTGCTTTCAACGGAAACACTGTCATTGCTGTGTATATAGCCAAATACCTAAGTAAAGTAAACCAAAAGACAACCACATAGAAATACAATATTTGGATCCTCTATACTCTTTCTGCCCTAAGGAAGCTCTCAGATGGAGTTCAGAGCTGCAATGCATCTGAGAAATCCACTTGTAAAATAAAAAGATGCAGCTGAGAAAAGTTAACCAGCTAAGCAGGTATAAAAGTCAGAGATACTCAAGCGGCCCAAACCATCCGGTGCTTTCAGGTAAGAGCTGGTTCAAAAGCATACCCATTTGTTTTACATAAAATACACAACCCCTTAAAAATCTTTTGTACAGAGATCTCTACCTGGTGGAAGAAATTGTTGAAATCATTAAAACGAAGCACACCATTAATATGATGGGAAAGCGAAGGAACAGATTAACTACAGAACAAGAAAGAAGTATTTTGTGACAATCTGAGTAATTAAGGTGCTGTGCGCTGTAAATATAGAACTACACGTGTGTTGTGATTAAGAAAATTTACCTTTACCATAAAGAGCCACAATCAATAGTTGACATAGATAAAACCCAAGACAATTAAAAATCAAGTTTTGAACCCTCAATATGTAGATAGCTGTTTAAGGGTGAAGAACGGAGGTAGGTGGAGGGATAGGTTAAATAGGTGATAGGGATTAAGGAGTGCACTTGTGATGACCACCGGGTATTGTATGGAAGGGCTGAATCACTATATTATACACCTGAAATATTATACTGTATGTTAACCGGAATTTAAATAAAACCTTTTTAGAAAGAATATAAAACAAAGAATCAAAGGATAGAAAGAAGGCAAGGGTGTGCCCTCAAAAAGAGCTATGAAAACACGACCTGCCTGTTTCTGGACTGGGTCTGACTTTCCACAGACAGGCAGAAGTCCTGGGATAGAATGTCAGGTGGCACAGGCAGGAAGCAGGAAGACAGCTCCCTTGCCTGTCTGGAAGGCATCCTTCCTTCCTCAGTCCCTGCAGGAAGGATGAAAAGCGTGCCTGACTGAAGCTTGGTGGCTAGACACTGTGACCTGGGGCAGAGACTGAGCACCACTAGCACCTGCAAAGTCAACGGGCCTCTCCAAACAAGTCCATGTAAAGGGAAGTAGCAAGTGAACATGAGAAGCAGCATGTTCTAGGTAAATACATATATTTGACTCACATGAATAGAGCCAAAATGTCTTACACATGCTCAACCAAATGGATTAAACACTAAAGGGTCACTGAACTAGAGAGTGAGAGCTGATAAACATAACGAGGGCATGGCTTCCCCGCGGTGCCCCCCACCCCCAACTTCCACATCTTCTAAGGGATAAGTTGGGAGGTTCCGTGTCTAGGTAAGAATAATTCCCCTTTCCTTTGCTGTGCTAATTTGAAGGAAAATTCCTAAGTGAATCATTCAGAATCACAAGAATCAAGGGACCTTTGATAAGCAAAGGAGAATGGTCCTCATGAGTAAGGATTCTGAAATTATCTAAAAATCAGAAAGGCAAACGCATTTTTCACAGTAAATTTCCCAGAAGCTCGTTGGAAGTTTTATAGGTAATCCATTGCCAAGTACAAGCGTTAAAGAACAGCAAGGCACTTTTTCCTTGAATAAATGTAGTGACAAAAGCTTTTAATTTTTTTTAATTAAAGTTTTATTTAATTTAATTTATTTTATTTAATTAGTTTTTTAAAAAACTAATCAGAAGTTTTCTGTGTGTCCCCAGCAAGTGCCTCTTTGGTGCTCTTCTTCCTACTTTGAGCTGACCTCTGGCCCCCACATTCCTCTACCTGTTTATAGCAAAACAAAGATGGGGGAACTCTAGGCTGACAAGAGACATTTGGACCATCTGAGATTCTGAAAAAACAAAACACACAAGGAAACATCCAACTTTGAACTCATGTTTTTACAACTCTGCCATCTACAATATTAATGGTAAAGATCCATCTGGCCCTTTTTAATTGAAAGGCTTTTTATTTTATTGTATCACTGAAAATCTTAGAATCATTTTTTAAATTTTGGCAGTATAAATGCAAAAATACATTTATCATGCTTAGAAAACAAAGAATCTGACAGCCTGGATATGTCCCATCATACAACACTGTTTGAATAGCAGTCTTTCTTTATACCTCTTTACTTTCATCAAACACATATACAGTGTTTACTCTGTGCCAGGAACTCTTTTAAGTGCTTTACAAATAACTCACTTACACCTCATGTATGGTCCTATGAGGTATTGTACTCTTTTATATCCATTTTAGAGATGAGGAAAAGAAAGCACTGAGAGGTTGAATCACTTGCTCAAAGTCACACAGCTAAGAAGCAGTGGAACTGAAATTTAAATCCACGCAGTCTAGCTCCAGAGTCCATGTTCCTTCCCCTCCATTACGCTGCCTCTCAAACTTCCACCATTTCTACATTAAGATAAGCTGTGATTTGTGCAGAATCATTTTATACATTTTCATAACATTATCATTTCAATAACTGACCCATGTCATTGTAGCAACTTCCGCACATTAAGGAATAGGAAGAAAGAAAAAATAAATACCATTAAATACTACACTTCACCACTTTACATTCTGTTAGAAATAAAATGAAGGTAAAGAAAATACTAAAATGGTGCCTCATTTCTGCTGGGAAAAATACTCTGCTAGAAACTTCCTCACGTTTAAATTCAGTAATGCCACTGTAACTTTGCAAGGTCTTTACACTCAAATTCAGAGTCAACAAGCTGGTGTATACTAGAGAAAACTTAATTACGTGTAAAAAGACAGAACAGCTCTTAGAAGCTCTTTCTGGGGAATTCCACAGTTGGTGAACCTCTAAGAGACAGAGGAATTTTCTCCTTGGAATTCTTTTAGCACATCTGGCAGAGTGCACAGGCCTCCCCCGCCTCTGCCTGCAGGGACAGTGTGCTCCCCCATGCTCAGGACCCTCTGCCAGAAAGGCCTTGTCCTCCGTAGGGCTGGGGGATCCCACACACCCCAAAGCACTTCAACATTCACTTTGCGGGTGTCCTGCCAATTAAGGCAGCAAAGGAGGAAATTACCTCCATTCCCGCAAAGAAACTACTCATTTTTTATTTGGGGAATGTGCGTGGTGCTGGTCCTCTCTTCACCCTTTGATTATCAAAAGCTGATCACTCTTCAAATTCCACACCTGTGTCCTCCAGCTGTGCAAATACTTGACACTGTGGTATAAAGGGCAGAAGACTATTCTGCCAGGTATCATTCTTCTTTTTTAACCATCTTCCCTTAAAAAACAACTAACCAGTCAAGGGGGCGCCTGGATGGCTCAGTTGGTTAAGCGTCCGACTTCTGCTAGGGTCATGATCTTGTGGTTCTTACGGTAAAGCGCCACCTTAGGCTCTGTGCTGACAGCTCAGAGCCTGGAGCCTACTCCAGATTCTATGTATTCCTCTCTCTCTGTACCCTTCCCGCCCCTACTCGTGCTCTGTCTCTAAAAATTGAATATGTCAAAAAAAACTTAAAAACAACCAGCTAGTCAGGCACAGCAGCTTTGCCTAGTTCTTTCGTTCACTGGAAACTGTAGTTAGCATCATCTCCCTTTATAAAAAGATGCAATGGCCCAACTGTGCAAAAAGTCTGGCCCAGTGGCTTGCATGTAACAGACAAACACTAGTCCCCCTTTACCTTTCCATCTCCACCTAGAGATGTCAGCCTGTGACTCTTACTCTCCCTCCTCCTCCGCAAAATGAAGGGCAGATATCATGCATACCAAGGGCATTTCTCAAAGATGGAAAGAGCTGTGGGACCTCTTAGCTTTCCTGAGCTTCCTTCCTGCACGAATATGCATTCATTCCTCCCATTGCCAACACATGTGTAAAGCATGTTCTGCCCTGTCCAGCTCCAGCCTTCCTCGCTTCACTTTCTAGTCCTCTCAACATCTTTCTCATGAGCACTGGAATATGAGGAATACAACTGTGTTCCCATTATCTCACCAGACATGCCAACCTAGCACGATGCACCAGAAATTTACTTGATCATTTGTGGAATTCCTTGCGGGGGAAGTAGCATACAATTTTGAGATCCCAACACAGTTGCTGGGAAGCAATTTCTCAAATTTCCATGATGTGGCTCTAATTTCTACCATGAAAATGTCCATAGAAAAGGTAAAAAAAAAAAAAAATCAGTGCTCTGATTTGACACTTGTTCAATGATGTTGACTGCTTATAGAAAATAAAAACGATGCTTTTTCAGAGGTGTAATAACTTTTTCAGGGGTATAATAACTGGGTGCAATAACTTTTTTAGAGGTGTAATAACAGATTACAGTGGGTGGTCCACTAAAAACAGTCAATACAATCTCACTTTAAAAAAAAAGCTTTACAAATGGGCTACTTTCCACAACAGGTATGGTAAGAATTTTATTAGAGCTAGAAGGTTCAGAGTCTGTTTAGTGTAAATACAGTCTAGACTTATTATCTTACCCCTATCTCAGAGTCTGGAGCACAGAAAAGAAAAAGCCTGATGAGAAAACAGGAACTAGGGCTCCTGGGGACAAATGATACAGTAAGCATCATAGGTGGCTCTTCTGTGACTGACAAAGCTGTCCCCTTGCTACATACCATTGGCTCTGGTTGAAAAGAGGCAGGATAAAGAGTCAGGAACTGAAAACTCCCGTGTCAGAACCACACCACCAAGCCTTGCTAAGTAATGAGCCCACTGATGTGCAGTGAAGCCACAAATCATGGTGGAAAGCCACACCCCACAGGGAGTTGAAGTTCCCAGAGAGGATACTCACGCTGACACTGTCCCCAGGACCGGCGGGCCCAGCCCCAGCAGCAGTCAATCCTCCCACCGTACCGACACAGGCCAATGGACGACACAATTTGCCTGGGCCACCTAACAAACAGAAAGATTCAAAATAAATAAAGATACTTTTGAAATTAAAATTGATTTCCTCTGTTAATTATTTTTAAAAAAGAATTTAGGGGCACCTGGGTGGCTCAGTCGGTTAAGCGTTGGACTTTGGATCAGGTCATGATCTGTTTGTGGGTTCGAGCCCCACGTCCGGCCCTGTGCTGACAGAGCCTGGATGGAGCCTACTTCCGATTCTCTCTCTCTCTCTCTCTCTCTCTGACCCTCCCCTGCTCACGCTGTCCCTCTCTCTCTCTCTCAGAAATAAATAAAACATTTAAATAAAAAATAAAGAATTTAAATCACACCCACCAATCTACTATGAACTCCTTCATGCCGGCAGAAATTTAAGGATAAAACTCAGGAAAATAGTTCTGCTGTGATCTAGTTCCAAATTTCAGACAGTTAAACACATACACATATGCTACACACAGGAGTATGGTGAAAGGGAGGGGAAGCTCCTATCTTAGATGAAAATAGGATCAGTGAAAACCAAGCATTCTCAAGGCTCACACTCACAGGGTGGTTTCTGGAGTTTGAAATAAAACAGATTCCTCAAAGACCCACACCTGTTACTTGGGGGAAGCCCAGTTTTGACTGATTTATCATAAACTGAAAAGTATTAAATAAAACGACATGTCAAAGCAGAAAGAAAAAATCTGCCTTATATTTTCTGCCTTGGAAAGGGGAAGATGTGGAAAGGGGCAGAAAGATGGGAGTTTCTCAAAATCAAATGAAACAGAATCTCCCCTTCGAGATAGGACGCTGGCAGAAAATGTTCCCAGGAAATAAAGTATTAGAAAAAAAAAAGTCTAAATAAAACCAAGAAGAGTTTAAAGTGTAGCTAACATCTCAAGTGTCCTTGTGGTTTGAAACTTTCCTGCATCAACAATTCCTGTTATCTTCCTCACTAATGTAAATAAGGACTCAAAGTATTCCATTTCAAGGATACCAATTTATCCACCAGGTTCCACTTTGACCCCTTATTTGGTATATCGTTTCTTTGTTTAGATTCACACCTGACTTTATACTCCCAGAGGATCAATATTTTAATTGGCTGTTTTAAAATGAAGGCTACCTTAAAATCTTAGCAAAACCATGTGATGTATTTCTTATTGCAAATGTGTGTGCCACAAATGCACAGCACGTGGGCAAAGAATTGCTTTCATAAAATAAAAGAGCCTCTGGCCGCTACCCACATTTTCGTAAACACTCCTAATCTTTTCAATTCCCGTTTCTTTTATCTCCCTTTATGCCTGCAAGCACAAAGCACCCAAATAACCCCCAACTTTCTATTTCCTCCGACCAGGTGGTAAACAAGGGGTTGCTCTTCTAAGCGCTCCACTGGTTCCCCTCGGTTCCTGTTCCCCTCCAGGTACACGAAAGCCAATCAATCGTGGAATTGATTCTTTCCAAGATTACAAGGAAAACAGGTGCGGCTGTCTTTAGGGCTGCTCGGAGGGCATCCTGGCGGGGTCGGGGCGGGTGAGCAGGCTCTGAAAGAGGAAGACTGGATGGCGGTGTGACCCAGGTTAAAAATCTCTCCCGGCTGCTCCAGCCTGGTTTGTGCACCAGCGGCAGCGCTCGGCGTTCGGGGCGGGTCTGGTCTATAATTGCACGGAGGTGGGGTATCCAAGCACGCCCTCCTGACCGACCGACGCACACAAACACACACACTCGCCAGAGCGGATCCCGCGGCTGCGGAGAGAGAGCGCCGCGCGCCGCCGCCAGGGGGGCGGCTGAGTGACAGCGGCGACGGCGCCCAGGGTTGTTGGAACCTGTCAGAGCACGCTGCACGCCAGGCTTGCCCGAGGTCTCGGGAGCGGTGGGTGCGTGCGTACACAGACACGAACACACACGGAGCGCTCCCCGCCTTTCGGTCCTTATTTTGAGTCCTCCTCCCTCAAGAACACCAAGCGCGGAGGCAAACGGGTCGTCCCTGCAAGCCCGTTCGCTTCCTCGCCCCCCACCCTTTGCGTGAGCGGCCCTGACAGCTTCAAGCCGGGATCTGGCCCGGCCACCTGGAAGTTTCCCCACGGAAGGGCCGTCCACATCACAAGCCAGAGTTTGCTGACCAAAGGCGTCCCGCGCATCACCTCGGCTTAGGAGGCTAGCCCGCGCGCTCCGAGCCCCGGTTCTGAACCTCCTCCCCTAGGTCCTGACACCCGAGGCGGCAGCCGCGGCTGGGCTCCGGGACTCGCAGGGGGCGCCCTCCCCGGCCTCGGGCGGCCACCGGTCGCGAGAGCGGTTCGACGGCTCTCCTCCCGCCGATGTCGCGCGGTGGCCCAACTTCTGGCCGGGGAGACTCCTCTCTGGCCTCGCAACCCGCCGGGGCGAGAGGACCCCAGCCCCGCGAGAGCGAACTTGGCGCTGGAAGGAGGAGAAGAGGGGGTCGCGGGGCCCAACCCACCTCACGTCGAACTCGGCGGCCGCCTGTAGGTAGAGCGAGGAGCCGAGCACCAGCGCCAGGAGGAAATCCATGTCGGGCGGCGAATGCACGGCTGCGCGCGAGGAACAGGTTGGGGGTGCCGGGCGCGGAGGAGAGGCGCGCTCGTCCCCTCGGCTCCAAGGGAGGAGCTGCGGGCGCCGCGGCGACTGCTGCAGCTGTCGGAAGAGAGCGGCGCGGCGAGCAGCCCGAGCAGGTCTGCGGCGAGGCGCCGGGAGCCCCCTCTGGCTCCCTCCCCGCGAGGGGAGGTGCTGCAGGGGGAGCTGCGCCGCCCGCGGGGAGGGGCGCAGGGGGCGGAGAGGGGCGCGCGTGCGCTCGCCTCGCAGCCCTCCCAGGCGGGGGCCGGGGATTGAGGGCGCTTGGCCCCTCGGCGGAGAGCTCGGGAGCTGGAGCGCTTAGGGAAGCGGCGTCTCTTGAGGGCCAGCCAAGTGGGGCGAGCGCCAGGCTGCGAGGAAAGTTGCAAGCCCGGCCTGGGCGAGGGAGGGAGCGCCGGGCGCTCCGCAGGGAAGGGTGAGCGGAGGAGGGAAAGGACCCGCGGCGTAGGTGCGCGCTCCGCGGGTTCCGCCCGAACAGGTGGTGACCGCGGGGACAAGCAGCGGCTTCCGCGGGCGGCGGAGAAGCCCGAGACCGGAGACGTTGGTGGGGCTGGAGCTGAGCAGCGTCTGCAGTTAGTGAAACCACAGCACGACTGCACGACTTGGACAAATTAGCAAAGGCAAACTCCGGGAGTTTGCTTCTCCCGCAGAGTTGGCAGAGGCATATTTTTTTTATTTTGTAACCAACCGAAAGAAATGTTTGGCTCTCCAGCCGAGTTTGGTAGAAGAAACGTGCAGGCTGTTTTCTGTCTCTGCCAGCTCGACTTCGAGCACGTTAGGACGATAGCAAAGGCTGTCCCCGCCAGGGGCACGTGCAGGCCAGAGCGGGAGGGCTGTTACTACTTAGCCTGCGGTGCCTGATCGTGGGGAGAGCTTGTAGAAACCATTTTAACAACCATTGTTCTGCTGTTGCAGAGTAAAAAAAATAATGCACTAAAAGACTGGTCAATGAAAACACGCAATGATCATCCTAAAATGCACGTAAAAACATCTATCCATTGAGTCACCCCTCTTCTCAAACCCTGCTCCAATGACTCCTCCGTGCACTGATGTGCCGTCTCTCATACGTCTCAGACCTAATCTCCTATTCTCTCCCTTTCCCTAGCCCATGACTTCCTTGCCTTCCTCGCACACCCCGGGCGTGCCCCTGCCTTCGGGCCATTAACTGGCAGATCTGTCTGCCTGGATGTCGACATGACTCACTTTCTCACTTCCTTCAGGCTTTGCTCAAATGTTACCACTCTTTGAGGAATCCAGCCTTTAAATTTGCAGATTAAAAATTGCAAATCGGCCCCCTCAGGATGCTGCATGATTTGTTCTACTTTGTCTTCTCTCCATACCACTCACCTTCCGGTGTCCTATATAATTTATTTCTCGTTTGTATGCCTTTCTGGTAGAAAGCAGACTCTTCAAGGGAAAGTTTGTTAGTGCCTAGAACATGTACTATGTGCTCATAAATGTTTGTTGAATGAATTTGTTACATTACAAACGTTTTTTTGTCTTTATTTTCTTTCTGAGGTTTCTCCAACTTTAATTTTTTAATGGAAAATTCTGTGGCAGTGTGATCTCACACTCCTGATTTCTTAGTGTGTACAAAAACAGGAATTTTATGCAAGAAAAGGAAAAATAATGGTTTCAACTTAAACGACTCTTTGATTTCCAAGTTGTTTTCTGTTAGCAAAACAAGTTTCTATTTTAATCTCAGGAAATATCCATGCCAATTCAGGCTTGGGACATTATTTTAGGCAAACAGCTTGGTGTCATCTATTTCAGATCCTTCTAATGAAGTCCAAAAATGTAAGAGTCAAAATATTTTTTCTGCAGAAAATCAAATTTTTGTTAAGTGTAATGTAGGCTCCATTCCAGGCTACTTCTTAGCCATTTTCTTTGTTCATTGATTCCTGGATTGGATTTGCAAATAAACCTCCCCAGAGCAATGGATGATTATTAAGAAGGGGCTAACCTGTAGGCTAAACGCTAGAGATAGAAGGAAAGGAGGACATTATAGGTGAAAATAGGACAGTATCTGGAACAAAAGTGTAATGCCCCATCAGCATGCTTTAAATTTTTTTCCATATCTTTTTCTTTGGCCTAGAAAACACCATTCATCTTCCTTCTTCATTTGGACACTCTCCACTTGCCCTTTGGGTCCAAGTTTAGCTGACATTTACTCAGGAAGCCTTTTTTGACTTTTTGCTTGGCTGAGATTCCTGTGGTATAATCACAACACTGCACATCCCATATTGTAACTTCTAACGCAATGGGTTTATTGCACTGCTGCTCTGCCACTCTGAGTTCTGTGAGATATTAACAAGCAGGCGGACAAGGGCACAAGGCTTCAATTCAGTAAATATTAAATGTTGGATTGAATTCTTGCTGGCAAACTTGAGCTTCCCCCGTGAGTAAGTAGTAGCTGATTCTATCAGTCTTTGTTGAATCATGGAATGAAGAGAGTCAGCAGGAATTCCAAGGTCTAACTGGTTGGTATGCTACAATTATACCAACCATTCCAGAAACAAGGTGAAGTTCCCATGGGGGTGATATTGCACTATCTATCTCCGCCTTAAAAACAAGACAGGGGTGCCTGGATGGCTCAGTTGGTTAAGTGTCTGACTTCAGCTCAGGTCATGATCTTGCGGTTTGTGGGCTCGAGCCCCACATCAGGCTCTGTGCTGACAGCTTGGAGCCTGGGGGCCTGCTTCAGATTCTGTGTCTCCCTCTCTCTCTGCCCCTCTCAGCTCATTCTCCCTCTCTCTCATAAATAAACATTAAAAAAAAAAAAAAAGATGAAAACGGTTTGCTTTTAGCAATATCTGTACTTTTCCAAGAGGACCACTTTTTTGGTTAGGTTTCCTACCCAATAATGCCACCTTGCAAGTAGTAATCCCATTGTTCTCACAAATAATTACCACCATCACAATGTGGTACAGATAGGTAACAAAATAGGACCAAACAAACACCACTTCAAACACATGGACATGAGAAGCTCTTACTTGTTTCATCTTCACCCCCCCCCCCCGCCCCAACAAATATTTATTGAGAGCCTACAATGTACTGGCCTTTTCTTGGTAGTAGGACTTTAGCTAGGAAACAAAGTTGTGCCCTGAGAGTTCCCACTGCGGTAGGGGAGCAAGGAGGAATAAGTGCTATGAAGAGAGGGTAAGGTGTAAAGAGAGGGTAAAGGAAGGAAAAGGTGATAAGAGATGAGAGGTGATTTTAGGTAGAGTGATGTGGTCCCTTCTGGGGTGGTGACATTTAAGCAGAGACTGAATAAGGTGAGGATGTATGGTTGGGGTGGTGTCCAGGCAGAGGGTAAAGAAAATGTGTTTTCTCTATCAAGTTCTCATAGTGTCTGTCAGTAAGCTATTTCTCCCCGTATACCATAAACAGTGGTGCCATAGGGACAGGAAAACTGCTTTAAAAACTCACTATTCAGGGGGTGCCTCGTGGCTTAATCAGTTAAGCATCTGATTTTAGCTCAGGTCATGACCTTGCAGTTTGCAAGTTCCACCTGAATTGAGCTTTCTGCTGTTAGTGAGGACCCTGCTTTGAATCCTGTCTCTCTCTCTCTCTCTCTCTCTCCCCCCCCCTCCTGTGCATGCACACACACACTCTCTCTCTCTTTCAAAAATAAATAAACATTTAAAAAAACTAGTAAGAAAAGAGAAGGATGAGGAACACACAGCTTCACTGCAATCTTGACTCCAAACTAAGCAAGAATTACGGAGATTCTCTGCTCCAGCAGTTGAAGAATTGCCTTGGTCAGACAGTCAGGTCACCTCTGCTTCTACAACCTTGTCCATTCATCTTTCATAGCCATATCAGAAGGGACCCTTGGAGCACGTGTCTTCCTTGGGAGCTCTTACATCATTTACAGCTCTTTTTCTCTGGCTACACCTTAAGAGTCTGAGTGTTGCTTTAAGGAGCTAACAGATAGATATTCTCAGGTCAGACTCATGGTTTCTGTAGCTACAAGATTTCCTTAAAAACCCTAATCTAATTGTTTCCAGTGAGTTCCTTGCACCAATAACAATAACCAAAATCTTTTCTAGTCCTCGTTCTTAAGCCTGCTTTCTTTCTTCGCTTCCGTATATCCATACCTCACTCTTTCATCTTAATAGAAGCCACCTTGAAGCTAGCTGAAGTGATAGATTTGATTGGGAAGGCAACACCCTTTTTCTGATCCTTGCCACAGGCTTAGATCCTTTTACTGAGATTAATGTTTAGGGTATCAAAGCAGTTGTCTTTTTGAATCCTAGGAGGCCCCACATTTCTGGACAGTCTCATTTCTTTCCCTGTTTTAAAAAATTTTTTTAATGTTTTTTTATTTATTTCTGAGAGAGAGAGACAGTGTGAGCAGGGGAGAGTCAGAGAGAGAGGAAAATACAGAATCTGAAACAGGCTCCAGGCTCTGAGCTGGCGGTCAGCACAGAGCCCGACACCGGGCTCGAACCCACGAACCGTGAGATCATGACCTGAGCCGAAGTCAGATGCTTAACCTACCAAGCCACCCAGGTGCCCTCATTCTCATTTCTTTCTCTCCCTGCTTGCCACGCAGCCAGTTTTTGACTAAGCTCATCTTTTTTTTTTACATTACCTTATAAAAGCAACAAGGAATAGTGAAATACACCATTTTCATTTTTTACAATGATACTCATTTTTGTTTTGTTTTTATTAGAGAGTGCACATGAGCAGGGGAGGAGTCAGAGGGGGGGAGAGAGAGAGAGAAAGAGAGAGAGAGAGAATCGTAAGCAGACTCCACACTCAGTGCAGACCCCGACATGGGGCTTGATCCCACAACCCTGGAATCATGACCTGCGATGAAATCAAGAGTCAGATACTCAACCAGTTGAGCCACTGAAGCACTCCTACAATGATACTCCCTTAATCTGGATGTGTGTTGTGTCCTTCATAGGGAATGAGCATAGGTGATGTACGAACTAGCAGGTCTAGAGCCTTTCCAACAGCTCTGGTTATACCACAGAGTAGATCATCCCTTCAAAGAGGGAATAATTCCAATACTACTTAAATTATTTTATGGATCTAAAGAGGAGTACTTACAAATATTCGTAAGGTGTTACTGACA